TTTCCAGTGCCTCATAGCTTTGATCACTTTCAAAAATAGTGCTGACTGTTTACTGTCCTGTATTTAAAATAAAATAAATCAAAGATAAATCAGTAATTTTCATAATAATTAAGTCTATTTTTATGTCCACTTGAAATATTATACTATACAGTTAACTACAGTTGCTCCCTTTTGACAAATAATTTCCTTCATGCAATCTATTAAATGAGAAGGATTTTGCAACTTTTAAGAGCTATTTCTAATACCCCAGCATTAGCTCTGGAATCCCAAGCTCAGCGATGGCCATCCCAAAAGTCATTTTGGTAACACTTTACTTGAAGGGGTGTGCATAAGACTGACATTCCACCTTCATAATCATGTCATGAATATGAAGGAGGTTTTATGCATGTTTATGACAACTGTCATTAAGTGTCATTTGCTCAATTATGACATTTTTAATGCTAATATGATGCCAAATATGGCATGATGAGGCCATTATAACTGTGTCATGAATATTTTGACCTCAACTACAGTGGTACAAATTGAATTTGTCATTAAAATGTTATAATGGCCTCATGACAGCCAATGTCAAAACCAGCCACCTGACAGTTTAATGTAATGTTAACCCATGCAGCTAAGTGGTTTCTTAATATTTGATAATTAATCTGCTATGTCATGTTTATGACATATTTATGACAGGTTGTGTTGTCTAGTAATGTCAAGTTGTCATTACCAAGACACTGACAGGTTATGATGTATTGGTTTATGTCAAGGTGTCATAACAAAGACATCTCAAACAATGTCATATTTGCATTAAAAATGTCATAATTGAGCGAATGACACTTAATGACAGTTGTCATAAACATGCATAAAACCTCCATAAAACCACTGTGTCATGTCATGATTATGAAGGTGTCATATCTGCAAACAGCGAGTTCTCTTACATGTTTAGTGTTGATTCAGTTAAGTTTAATAACAGTGTAACGTTGATCAGTTATGAAATGAGTTCAATTTATCCATAAGCAGCTCTACAGACGACAATAGTCATTATTCACTTTGAGTCAGTTCAGTGTTTGATTCAGTTCATTTCAATAACATTGTCAATAACAAAATTCATCAATTATGAAAAGAAGTCAAATCAGCAATAATTCAGCTCTGCAGAAATCAGTGATCTCATCATCCAGCTCAATTCAGTTCATTTTTTCTTATTCAATAGAGTCTTACAATAGCTACTGAATATTAACCCTTTCCCCACCATTGACAAGTTTTTCCATCATTTGTAACACAATGCTTCCTCGCCATTGACGAGTTATTCCGGCGATCCCTGTTTTCACTGTTATACGGCAGGGGGCGAAGGAGAAGATCTGTGTAAACCAGGGGCGTAGCCAGAATTTTATTTTTGGGGGTCCCGTCTTTAAACGAGGGGGCAACATATATATATATATATATATATATATATATATATAGGATATATGTATATATATATATAGCCAGAATTATTCTGGTGGGTGCGGTGATGCGGTGGCGACTCATGTAACATGTAAGGGTGGCGCTGCCAATAAAGCACCTAAAAGCTGTCACAAAGAACCGGCAAAAGTAATGATTATGAATATGTAAAATATAGCAAGGAGATATTTTAATTGTTTATTAATAAACAAGTGTTTTCTTTGTCGGCTAAGATGAAGTTGACGATGCCTAGTGACTCACGATATTCAGTAGTGAACGCGCCAGAGAGAAATGCACATTTCATAAGGATTACATAAGCAGAGAGCAGTCTGTAGTCTGTTTTCTTTCGTTTTGAATTGTTCTGTTTAAAAGTAGACATGTGATGCAAGTAGGCTACCTTATATGCTGATTATCTATCGTCTGCTATATTTACTTCTTATTTATTAAATCCAGGCAATTGGTTGATGAAACATTCATTAAAATTAAGATACAATTAATACAAAATGAAATTCAGGTTAAAGAAAGGGTTTGTGCTTTCTTTTTGATGTCTCTGTGAAAGTTTTAAAGCATCTTTTAGTGCCGCTTTCAGAGCGCTCACGTAACGGAGAACACGTCCGTAACATTGTTTTTTCCTCATAAATGCGAACACGAAAAATAAAATAAAATAAAATGAATATTTTATGTAGGCTACTGTGGAGACTGAGAGGAAACCCTTCTTCATCCGGTGGGTAGTAGGCCTATTTCTTTGGTTTGCGCAGTGTAATTCACATAATCACTAAAAAAATATTTTGCCTCCTAAAGTTTTTTTTATTTTTTATTAAGCAATCAGAAATCTGAGGGGCCGGACATGTAAATGAGGGGGGCTAGGCCCACCCAGGCCCCCTCATGGCTACGCCACTGGTGTAAACCAGGAGCGGATAGAAGCAAAAGTATGGTAACGTAGAGGTCTTCAACCCTAATCAAACACACCTGAACCAGCTAATCAAGTCGCTTGAAAATCACAGACAGTTGTGCTGAAGCAGGTTGGAAATAAACTCTGCAGGACAGCAGACCTCTGTGCTAACGTGATCACCATACAACAGCATATAAATCAAAACTGCATAACGGTACCAAATGAAATGTCGATTCCATGATAAATGACTGTAGCTCCGTGGTGTTGATGGACTCGAACTATGTTCTGATCATCGTTCTGAATACGGACGTAGTCTTTGACAAAAATGCGATTTTCTCAGCTTTTTGTTCAACATTTAGTTTTTTAAACTAACCTTACCCACATTCGAGTGTTGCTGGCTAGCAACATATTTAAAAATGCAGGCGGGAAAGAGTTAAGAGAAGGTCCACCGCCATCTTGCTCAGACGAAAAGTGACATAAACGCATCTGATGTTGAAATTGCGACTTCCCAACTCGTAAATATGAACTTTTTTTACTTTTTTAATGCAACTCATGACTCATTCAAAACAAAAGGTTGGCAAAGGTTGTTTTTTTTTGGTTTGTTTTGTTATTTCCATCGCATCTGCATAACATATTGTCTATGAGACTATCCACATACACATCTATCCACACACCCAGTCCCTGCCGTCGGTCAGCGAAAACCGTGAGGATCTGCAGTGGAATGACTCATCACAATCATTTAGTATTCTGCACATGTGTCTGTGAAGACTGGCCATATGCAAAACCAGACTATAAAAAACCCACAAGGCTATCATGGTGCTAAAAATAAAAGCCCTATCACATATGGTTTTGTGTATCATACATATGGATTATGCGTGATATGGTCCATGATATCTATAGTAAGTAATATCAATATTTACCCTGTGCAATATGTATTTACTGTAGATATACAATGTCATGAGAAACTTGAATGGGAGTTACACTACACTGTACAGTGGAGAAAAATACCAGTCAGACCAACTTTGAAATGAAGTAGCTAGTAATATATGCAGCTGATGAGAATATAAATCCATTTTTAAAAGCAATCAGTATGTTTAATCTCACATGTCTAGATCATGTTTCATGCCAAAACCATAGGAATAAAAAAATGAAGCCTATTATACCTACCTATTCCTCTTGTGACAATAATAAAGCACATTTCCAGCCCCAAATTTTCATTAACTTAAATTTGAATGCCTTTTTGGATCAATAAAGGCAAATGTTGTTTTGCCTTATAGACTCCAAGAAATCAAAATTGATACTATTTACTTAGTTATCGCACATTACTAGTCTAGTGGTGAACAATTCATCAGTGCAGGATAATCCACCAAAAATACTTGGTTTTTGTTTAGTAAAATCTTTGCGTTCCCTCTGAAATGGCGTTTCTTCTCTGCTGAAGTCAGTTGGCTGGGTTGGGCAGAACTTTCTTAATCACTCTTTCACTCAGAAATGATGCAATACTGAAATAAAGTTGGTCACAACCTCCAGTTCATGCAGACTTTAAGAACACATGGTGAAGCCTAATCTCAGATAACAAAATATGTTTTAAAGGCAAATTCTGGCTCTACCAAGCTTTATAATGGGAGTGAATAGTAACTTAGATTTTGAAGCCAAAAAATTGCATCCATCCATCATAAAAGTAATCCGCATTTTTGTAAGAAAAATATCCATATTTTTAACTTTATAAACTATAATCACTGGCTTCCAGTAACAGCCGTACACGAATCGAGTTCTGGCAGAAGAGTGACCTCTGACCCGACGCATGACGAGTGACCTCTGACCCGACGCATGACGAGTGACCTCTGACCCGACGCATGAAGAGTGAGCTCTGACCCGACGCATGAAGAGTGAGCTCTGACCCGACGCATGAAGAGTGACCTCTGACCCGACGCATGAAGAGTGACCTCTGACCCGACGCATGACGAGTGACCTCTTACCCGATCGCATGACTAGTGACTTCTGACCCGACTCATGACGAGTGACCTCTAACCCGACTCATGACGAGTGACCTCTGACCCGATGCATGACGAGTGACCTCTGACCCGACGCATGACTAGTGACCTCTGACCCGACGCATGACTAGTGACTTCTGACCCGACTCATGACGAGTGACCTCTTACCCGACTCATGAAGAGTGACCTCTGACCTGACGCATGACGAGTGACCTCTGACCCGATCGCATGACGAGTGACCTCTGACCCGACTCATGAAGAGTGACCTCTGACCCGACGCATGACGAGTGCCCTCTGACCCGACTCATGACGAGTGACCTCTGATCCGATCGCATGAGGAGTGCCCTCTGACCCGACGCATGATGAGTGACCTCTGACCCGACGCATGACGAGTGACCTCTGACCCGACTCATGAAGAGTGACCTCTGACCCGACGCATGACGAGTGCCCTCTGACCCGACTCATGACGAGTGACCTCTGATCCGATCGCATGAGGAGTGCCCTCTGACCCGACGCATGATGAGTGACCTCTGACCCGACGCATGACGAGTGACCTCTGACCCGACGCATGAAGAGTGACCTGTGACCCGACACATGACTAGTGACTTCTGACCCGACTCATGACGAGTGACCTCTGACCTGACTTATGAAGAGCGACCTCTGACCCGACGCATGACGAGTGCCCTCTGACCCGAAGCATGACGAGTGCCCTCTGACCGACGCATGAAGAGTGACCTCTGACCCGACGCATGACGAGTGACCTCTGACCCGATCGCATGACGAGTAACCTCTGACCCGACTCATGACGAGTTACCTGTGACCCGACTCATGACGAGTGACCTGTGACCCGATCGCATGACGAGTGACCTCTGACCTGACGCATGACGAGTGACCTGTGACCCGATCGCATGACGAGTGACTTCTGACCCGACTCATGACGAGTGACCTCTGACCCGACTCATGATGAGTGACCTCTGACCCGATCGCATGACGAGTGACCTCTGACCCGACTCATGACGAGTGACCTGTGACCCGATCGCATGACGAGTGACCTCTGACCCGACACATGACGAGTGACCTGTGACCCGATCGCATGACGAGTGACTTCTGACCCGACTCATGACGAGTGACCTCTGACCCGACGCATGACAAGTGACCTCTGACCCGACGCATGACGAGTGACCTCTTACCCGACGCATGACGAGTGACCTCTGACCCGACACATGACGAGTGACCTCTTACCCGACGCATGAAGAGTGACCTCTGACCCGACGCATGACGAGTGACCTCTTACCCGATCGCATGACGAGTGACCTCTGACCCGACGCATGACGAGTGATCTCTGACCCGACGCATGACGAGTGACCTCTGACCCGATCGCATGACGAGTGACCTCTGACCCGATCGCATGACGAGTGACCTCTGACCCGACGCATGACGAGTGACCTCGGACCTGACGCATGAAGAGTGACCTCTTACCCGACGCATGACGAGTTACCTCTGACCCGACATATGACGAGTGACCTGTGACCCGATCGCATGACGAGTGACCTCTGACCTGACGCATGACGAGTGACCTGTGACCCGATCGCATGACGAGTGACCTCTGACCCGACTCATGACGAGTGACCTCTGACCCGACTCATGACGAGTGACCTCTGACCCGATCGCATGACGAGTGACCTCTAACCCGACTCATGACGAGTGACCTGTGACCCGATCGCATGACGAGTGACCTCTGACCCGACGCTTGACGAGTGACCTGTCACCCGATCGCATGACGAGTGACCTCTGACCCGACTCAAGACGAGTGACCTCTGACCCGACGCATGACGAGTGACCTCTGACCCGACGAATGACGAGTGACCTCTGACCCGACGCATGACGAGTGACCTCTTACCCGACGCATGACGAGTGACCTCTGACCCGACGCATGACGAGTGACCTCTTACCCAACGCATGAAGAGTGACCTCTGACCCGACGCATGACGAGTGACCTCTGACCCGACGCATGACGAGTGATCTCTGACCCGACGCATGACGAGTGACCTCTGACCCGATCGCATGACGAGTGACCTCTGACCCGACGCATGACGAGTGACCTCTGACCCGACGCATGACGAGTGACCTCTTACCCGACGCATGACGAGTGACCTCTGACCCGACGCATGATGAGTGACCTCTGACCCGACGCATGTCGAGTGATCTCTGACCCGACGCATGACGAGTGACCTCTGACGCGACGCATGACGAGTGACCTCTGACGCGACACATGACGAGTGACCTCTGACCCGACGCATGAAGAGTGACCTCTGACCCGACGCATGACGAGTGACCTCTGACCCGACGCATGACGAGTGACCTCTGATCCGACGCATGACGAGTGACCTCTGACCCGATCGCATGACGAGTGACCTCTGACCCGACGCATGACAAGTGACCTCTGACCCGACGCATGACGAGTGACCTCTGACGCGACGCATGACGAGTGACCTCTGACCCGACGCATGAAGAGTGACCTCTGACCCGACGCATGACAAGTGACCTCTGACCCGACGCATGACGAGTGACCTCTGACCCGACGCATGACGAGTGACCTCTGATCCGACGCATGAAGAGTGACCTCTGACCCGACGCATGACGAGTGACCTCTGACCCGACGCATGACGAGTGACCTCTTACCCGACGCATGACGAGTGACCTCTGACCGACGCATGAAGAGTGACCTCTGACCCGACGCATGACGAGTGACCTTTGACCCGACGCATGAAGAGTGACCTCTTACCCGACGCATGACGAGTGACCTCTGACCCGACGCATGACGAGTGACCTCGGACCTGACGCATGACAAGTGACCTCTGACCCGACGCATGAAGAGTGACCTCTGACCCGACGCATGACGAGTGACCTCTGACCCGACGCATGACGAGTGACCTCTGACCCGACGCATGACGAGTGACCTCTGACCCGACGCATGACGAGTGACCTCTGACCCGATCGCATGACGAGTGACCTCTGACCCGACGCATGACGAGTGACCTCTGACCCGATCGCATGACGAGTGACCTCTGACCCAATCGCATGACGAGTGACCTCTGACCCGACGCATGACGAGTGACCTCTGACCCGACGCATGACGAGTGACCTCTGACCCGATCGCATGACGAGTGACCTCTGACCCGATCGCATGACGAGTGACCTCTGACCCGAAGCATGACGAGTGACCTCTGACCCGATCGCATGACGAGTGACCTCTGACCCAATCGCATGACGAGTGACCTCTGACCCAATCGCATGACGAGTGACGTATTGATGAATGCGGAAGTGCAGAGGATAGAGAAAAACAAAACACCGGTCACAAATTAGAAGTCTAAAACAATTTTTTTAAAAGAGAAATGTAGGAGGAGCTTGAGTTTGTTGCCGAGGTCAAAGGTCACTCTTCCGCCAGAACACACCGCTTCGCTTCAGAAGGCCTTTATTAACCCAATGGATTACTTTTATGATGGATGGATGCGTGTTTTGGGGCTTCAAAATCTAGGGTACCATTCACTCCCATGATAAAGTTTGGAAGAGCCAGGATATTTTATAATATAACTCCGATTGTGTTTGGCTGAAAGAAGAAAGTCAAAAACACCTAGGATGGCTTGACGGTGAGTAAATTATGGGATGATTTTTATTTACAAGTCCTTTCACAAATAATAGCACAGATCAGTGCAAAGAACTGTCTCCTCAAAGACGTATTTGAACTGGAAAGCTGATCTTAAACTCGGCAAAAAATAAATGTGAGCCCCTTTGAACTCGAGCGAGACATTGGTGCCCCTCCACCTGTTAAATGAGAGAAGATGAATAACTCACAGCAGATAACCTGTGTGATGCAGCACACCTTCATTTATCTTTCTAAGATCTGAATCTGCCCTACTTACATCTAAATAAAGCTCAGCCTCAGCGCAGTCACAATGCCCACCGCCTATTTTTATCTCCCACTGGTGAGCTTGTTTTTGAGGTTGAAAGTGAAGCCTGAGAGAGATGGAGCACAAAGTCTCTGCTCTCATTTCTTCAGTCCATGTGTGTCGTTTCAATGTCAAGCAGTGTTGTGTCTCATATTCATGATGGGGGAAATGAATAACAAACAGGGAGTTGGGGAATGGATGTAATATGGTAAAATGTGTTAAATGGAGTTGAATGTATAGAGTGGACAATGGAGGAGTTGTTACTGCAAATTAAGACCATGACGTGAAGCAGATATCTGATGCAATATCAACCAAGTGATTGCACATTATGCTGCTTATTACTAGCTATTTGCCACATTAGTAAATCATTGGACACAAAATATTCAGTTGATATATTTCTTTAGCTCTCTTGAAATATGACCGTTCATAGCAAGCAGCTTTTAGCTAAGATGAATGTTTAACTCCCCATGTCAATAATTGTATCCCTAAATCTTATATTTTCTCACCAAAATGTCCTTTTTCCCTTAAAAAACAACCCTTGCCTAGTTGCCTCATTTAGTATACGCGGTTCTATGAATATGCAAATGAGCCCCGCCTCCACTCACTCACTCACTCAGCAATCCACTGGTTGACGATCACACGTTGATCTGATTGGTTACAAGGTCGTTTGTGACGTCAGAAACACCAGCGATTTCAAACCGTGTTTTTGAGACTGTCTTTGGTTCACTGCAGTTTTAACCAGAAAATACTCAGCAATGCTGTCGACTTATGAATTTCTTAAAGGAACACTCCGACTTTTTGGGACTTTAGCCTATTCACCTTATCCCCCAGAGTTAGATAAGTCCATACATACCTTTTTCATCTCCGTGCGTGCTATAAGTCTGTTTGACGCACCCACCGCTAGCCTAGCTTAGCACAAAGACTGGATGTAAATGGTTGCAGCTAGCATACTAATCCAAATAAGTGACAAAGTAGCGCAAACATTTTCCTATTTACATGTTGGGATTTGTATAGTCACAGAGTGTACAAAAAACTACGTCACATGAGACACAGACATATTTTAACAGTATAAATACTGGGAACTATATTCTCTGAAGGCGAAGCACTGCTACTTGGGCGGAGTGATAACCGCAGCACCTGAGACGTACCGTACCCAAACTCTGAACGAACTCTCTGCTCCTCACCACGGCGCGTCTCAGGTGCTGCGGTTATCACTCCGCCCAAGTAGCAGTGCTTCGCCTTTAGAGAATATAGTTCCCAGTATTTATACTGTTAAAATATGTCTGTGTCTCATGTGACGTAGTTTTTTGTACACTCTGTGACTATACAAATCCCAACATGTAAATAGGAAAATGTTTGCGCTACTTTGTCACTTATTTGGATTAGTATGCTAGCTGCAACCATTTACATCCAGTCTTTGTGCTAAGCTAGGCTAGCGGTGGGTGCGTCAAACAGACTTATAGCACGCACGGAGATGAAAAAGGTATGTATGGACTTATCTAACTCTGGGGGATAAGGTGAATAGGCTAAAGTCCCAAAAAGTCGGAGTGTTCCTTTAAAGCAGGGGTTCTCAAAGTTTTGATAGGTGAGGGCCAATTTAGGAACCAAACATTGAACTGAGGGCCGCCAAAGTGGCGGGGGAGAAAACGAAGAAAAAAAAACTGAAAATAAAATCCCATTTGAAATTATTTTAATGACCAGATTGCATCTCTACAGTTTACATTAGTTGCAATAAACACATTTTAATTCATAACTGAGGCTAAACCTGGCAAAACTTGTGAAAATTTTGGGGGGGAGAGAAAGAAACTTTTAAAATAGAAGCTTACCAAACAAGTCATCATCATCATTCATTTCTATCATTGCTTGTCAGTCGCGTTTCCATTATTGCAGATTTGCATATTATTATCTATCTTTTTTAACCCGTAACTGAAAAACGAAAAATGAACGGTTGTTGTCTTTTTAAAACGCAAAGTTGAACAAAATTTTAATTTGAACTGGCTTCACCAACTGCTGCGCAAAAAAAGTAAATATCGACAGACTTTTTCAGATTTTTGTTTAAATTACTTTTTGCCCCTTTATTAAACATTTTAAATATTCACAAATTAATATGGAAAACATGTCGATTTTACTGGTTTTCTAAGGCCAAATTAGAACCTGGAATTTATATTTTTCCCGCAGTGATGAATGAGAAGAGCCATATAGCTGTCACGATTTCAGTGTGTTTAGTTCTGTTTTGTAATCTTGTTTTCCCCTGTCTTGTGTGATTTTTGGTTTAGTCCTGTTAGTTTTCCCGCTCCTCGTTTGTGTTCAATTCTCTGCACCTGTTTTCAGTTTATTATCTCGTTTGGTTCAGTTCATTTAAACCCTGTGTTTTCCCTCAGTGTTTGTCGATCGTCGTCAATGTATGGTTGTATGTCAACCCTGAAGTCCTGGAGTTCTGTTCTTTTGTTCTCGTTTGTTTTTGGATGTTTTGAAGTTTGTTTAATAAATCTATTATATTGAAGCCCTTGTCCTCGTCTTCAGCTACCTGCCGCAACCCTGACAGAACGATCGACCAACATCTAAAAATGGGCCGAAGGAGGAAAAACAAAGAGGTGAGCCCCTTCGAAAACCCAATCCTCTTCCAAGAGGAGCGCTCACTTGAAGAATACGCTGGTCTTTACCTAGAACTCTATGATGATGTGACGCTGGAAGAAGAAGAGCTGACTAAGAGTTTCTGGGGTGGTCTGAAGGACCCGCTAGCCCAGTTAATTCTGGTGAAGGACCTCAA